TCACAAGAGATCGCTATCGAGTACAACTGATGCATTTGAGCTGAGCATTGAAGAAAAAGCAGCCACTATATGAGCAGAGACACGACAAAGTGATTTTGCAACATGACTATAACATGACAACATGACTAGGCCACATGTTGCAAAATCTATTTGGAAACACCTAAATGGAAAGTCCTACCCCACCCACCATATTCACCAGTCATTGCTCATCCTGATTATCACTTGTTCCAATCGATGGTATATGGTCTGGCTGTGCAGCACTTTCATTCTTATGAAGATGCCAAAAAATGGATTAACTTGTGGTTAGCCTCAAATGACGTGTTGTTTTCCCGACATGGAATTAAAATGCTGCCAGAAAGATGGGAAAAAGTAGTGGCTAGTGATGGACAATACTTTCAGTGACAGGTTTCTTACTAATTTTTGTAAATAAAACATTACTTTTCATGAAAAAAACAGTGAGAACTTATTCAAGGTCCTGATAGATATTATATGCAGGTTTGAAAGTTATTTAAGTTTTTTATTTTTTATTTTTAAATCCCTCTGCACTTATATCTATTTTAAAAATTTGCTATACACACAGGTTGTGTAAGACGTTTAATTTGTTAAACTTATAAAATGGCTTGAGCAGAGAAAATTTCAGCAGCCTCTTTGTGCATGTCAGAGAGAGAGAGAGAGAGACAAAGAGACAGACAGACAAAATAACTCTGTTTGATCAGTAAAACTTATTTCCTAACTACTGACAATCAATTCTATTCTTTCTGGTTTTCAATCAAAACAGAAAAGCACAACCAATTTTCAAGCTACTAAGATTCTGAAACTTTGCTGAATTAATGATTTTACCAGATGCACTGATGTAAATGTAATTCAATAATATCAATTTCAGCATTTCACCATCAGTGATCAGTCATGACTTTCTTTTTTTAACAAAATTCTTGGTCTCTGATTGAAATGAGTTGGTACTTCTGCTTTATAATAGTGCCGTTTTCCAAGAAGATTTTCCGAGGATTGAATATAAGCAAAAGAAGTTGAAATATCCAAAAGACATCGGTGGCCATGATGTAAAATGAGTGTCAGTTATTGGAATTTTAAATACTTTCTCTCCAATCTGAAGACCAAATGAGGTACAATATATTTAATTGCTAGAATATCAGAATTGTCAGTGATTATATATATTGGAAGCATGGTGGTGTAATAGATAGTGACTGAGATTTAAGAATAGGAGAGTAGAGTTCAAATTAGAGTAAAGTTCATTACAGTCACTTAAATGTTTTTTTTTATATTTATATAAATTATTATAATATTTTTATTATGAGATTAAATAAAAAACATTTTACATTGCTACATAAAAGCTTTCATGTTTCAATACTATGATTGTCTTTCCTCAGGTGATGGTTGATAACTGGTGATAAAATTTAGGGAAATTTAAAAACAAAAGTTTACCTCTTCTCTGAAAGTTAAAGTTATATTTGGAGATTATATATATATATATATATATAACCCTGGGAAATGCTATTAATCCATCTCTTCGCCCCTCACCTATGATTAAATAGCAGGACAGACTGGGTTCTATAGCCTTGGTTGGCAACTAGTTTAGTAGAAGGAAAACTAAAGGAATTTAAACCAGACTGGAAGCAGTTGGCTATCTTGCTTAGGAAACCACAGCTACTATGACCATACAGACAGTCTCTAGACACTTAAGTCCCCCTAATAGAAAAACTTTAAGGACATTAGAAAATACTGAATAGTAAACTTATAAAATTTTCCTCATCCATTATATTCAATGGAACATGTATAAAAGAAAAACTGCTACCTGAATATACAATATATAAAATTCACCAGTATATGGCAGTTAACGATCCTAATAGATACTGCAGATTTATCATCTACTATATAATAATTACCTTTGTATATTTATTTATTTATGTCTTTTGTGTCACACAATATAGTTAGACAGGAGGAAAATGAACTTAAGGTAGTAATTTTATGAGTAGTTACTTCCTTTAATCATCCCTTAATAATCTATACAAATAAAATATTTATTTTTATTAACACAAAATTAGTTTCCAAGCAAAATGAATTAATCTGTCCTCTTACAATTACGTTTCTTAGACTGTAGTCATTTGTTCAGGCCTTTCTTGTGAAGCACTCTTATTCCTTTTCCTCTGAAGTAATCATCTTGTTTCAACTTGGTTTTGAAATAGGCTTTGTCATGACCATCTTTGTCGTTCAGTTGCTAATCTTTTTCTTTCAAGAGGTTGTTTTCATTTCAAGTCACTGTTATATTAAACACTTACATTTTTAACGTATAAAGATATTGAGCAAAAAGTGATTTATTTGATGCCAAGAGCCATAGATCATCACTGGCTGTATAAAAAGTATAAATGTAATAGTTTAATTAAACCTTTCATTGGCCTTTATTTTAGTTGTGAATTCTAGATCACTGCTTTATTGAATCTCAATACATGTGTAACAGAGAATCAGGCCAACCTGACAAGAAATCCAGTTGGTTATATGTGGTGCAGTAAGCATCAGGAGTTATATCCTCTTCAACAATTTCTGTTGAGAGAGGACATTCTTCTTAGAGTAGGTGGTGTTGACAAAATTTTTCTAAGAATGATCATCATCAGGTCGAGAATTCTTCACAGATTCTCCTGACTCAATCCTTCCAACCATCTTGGTCAGACAGGTCCTCCAGATGGCATCCATAGTCATCTACAAGTTGGTCAATGTAGGTGTGATGCGGTCTCCCAACCAATCTTTTGCATGCAATGGATTCCATCAGATGGTGTCACTCACAAGTTCTGACTTACTTCTCCAGGAATGACCAGCTAGCCAAAGCCTTCTCTCTCTTAGCAAAACGGAAATAGGAGGAAGGTGTCCATACAGGCATTTCTTTGTTGGGTGTTTCTTCCAGCTGATGTCCAATGCAACTTGTAACATCCTTGTGTATGTTCCATCAAGTGATGCTTCTTAATGTTTTGTCAGTGTCCATGTTGTTGAACGGTAGATCAAGAGATTCTACCATGGCCTTAAAGAAGTCCCTCTTAAGATTGTCAGAGAGGGAGGACTTCTAGATGGTGCTCAAAAGATTCCTAAAAAGAGAATGATACTGGGACGGTACAAACCAATAGCCAGTGTGAATCTGGGACTGAGAGAGCTATATAAGACCAGCTTTTTCTCAGTTGGGGAGAAATGCTTTTGAGATGGAAACCATCAGAGTTTTACATCAAAGTGCCGAGTTGGAGTTTTGCGTGAAAGTTTACATTTACTTTACTTAGAAAACCAGACAAACACAACATAGTTTTTAAAATTGTTTCATTGCATCTCAATATTAAAACTTTCTAACAATTACTGTCATTTTTTATGGTACGGATATACTAATTTACTATAAAAAGTTAAAAACATCTAATCATTACTAATAACTCAAAAATCCACCCTGTGTAAAAAAATAACATTAAATTTTCATATTGGTCACACATTCCCCATACTATCTCATAGTTTGATTTGTACACATATCAATCATCACAATACAAACAACCAAAATATATCTATCAATGTAAGACTTATTTAGTAGAAAATAAAATATACAGGACTCACTGCAAAGAAAGATTTAAATTCTAGAAGCCATTCTAATAAAAAAAACAACAACCGACATTGAATAAAATATCTTTCTCTACATGAGAGATGGTATATTGAAACATAGAAAAATATGATATAGATATTTTTATATATCAGAACAACAATAGGCAAATTAAAAACAAAGTTGAAAATTTTTTTGTAAGATATGCTAAAATGAAGGACAAATGAAGAACAAATTTGTGTCACACAAAAAAATTTTTCCACAATCATTAATTTGACTGATATTTTAAGTGTGTATAAAATATTTAATATGCGTACAATATATTTAATAAACAATAACAACACTTACAAATATTTGATATATGCTTTCCAGTTTAACTGGTATGATGTCATTTTGCTGGAATATGGTATTTTATGGTCAGAGAATGGTATTCATGTTATACAAATGCCTATTCCTGTAATCTCTCCAAGAGTGGTCATACTCAAAATTGAGTAGGCAAGAAACATATATAATAAAAAAAAAATAAAATAATTTTCTTCTATTTATAAGTTCATGGTAAAATTCTCTACTCTCCTTCATTAAATCCTTAATGTTAGAACAGACAGTTCTCAAAATTGCAAAAAGTATCTTTGTGGGTAATTCCATTTGCCAGTCATTTGCGATAACTGAAATGGATTAAAGTGCTTGCTTTTGTCCAGTCCTTCGGTCTACCAACTGAGTTATCGTTAGTGACCTCTTATTCTCTCAGTCTCGTTAGTACGCACGTATGCCGTCACACCAACAATGCGCTCTCCCATCTTCCTCCCAGACTCGCTATTTATACCCGCGTCGGGAGCAACTAAAATTTGCATACCAGACTTACTTCTCGTTTGCCCGATTTCCAGTTTTATAAATTCAAGCTGGTTTGAATTCTTAGTCTTTTTTATTTTTTTTCCCTGAACGTCTGTCCGCTATATGGGAATTTCAGAATATTCCCTTTCTCTTTTAATGCCAGTTGCGATCTTTCAACAGGACCTGACATGCCAAGCAAGTTCGCTTTGTGGGAGGTAAGTCTTCTCATTCCTCACAATCTTCTCTATGAATTATATACCTGAAGTATGTTATAGAATGTAGAGTTATTTGGCCAATTACAGCACATACTACAGAGAAAATTATAAATATTTAAAATAAACCAAATCCACCCTTAAGCTATCCATTAATATCTCAAGTGCATAACTGAAAATTTTGAAGAAACATTTCTTGAGCTGATGTGACAACTGTCATTATCACCAAATGTGAATTAGTTGCCATGTTAACTATTTTTAAGGTACACTTCTTATTCTCTTTGAATAGCAGAGAAGCTAAGAATCTCTTTTGGCTATCAAGAGCTATTTACCTTGCACCTAGCCAATACAGAAACAGATATATAAATGACTCTTACCTTGTTTCCTTTTCTGAAGGTGTCTCACAGCTGCTGGCAATACTTGAATCTTCAGATTCCAAAGAATTGAAACTTTTGCAATTGGCTTCTCTCATTTTCCTTTCTTCCCACTGGGCACGACCCTCATCAGCTGCTCGTCGTTTCAGTTCTTCAATTCGGCGTCGTTCTTGCTCAACAACTGGGTTTTGATCTATAGGTCAAAAATCACCCAAAGTTAAATTAGATTGTATGCAAAACATAATTGTAGACTTGGATAAATTTCCAAGTTTTTTTGTTACTTTTCTTTTTTTAAATAAATCTAACTTTGATCTTCAAAATTTAAATGCAATGTCATCTACTGTCTTCTTGATTAGTTTTGCATTGTTCTCACTCCTTAATAATGTTTCTATTTTTAATTATTTCACACTCAGTAACCCATTGTGTCTTAGTGGCTTTACTGCCTTGCCTGGAATGAATTTGATTAAAAAAAATAATAAAATAACCTTTCAACCAATGTACATTGAAAATGTTCCTCAGAGGATTGTTTTATTTTTGTAATGTTACACTTATACTCAGAATCAAAAAGATACAAATTAAATTTCTTGGACACATAATGAGGAAGAGGTGATTTGACACTCACAGGATATGTCAAATGAAGGCAGTAGACAAGGGAAGGCAACAGACTACATGACTGACCATGTTGTTTGAATATATGAAAGAATGTGGTTGGGAGCTTTGACAAAGGGACAGACATTGCTAAAAGCTATAAGGGATAGCAGGTTATGAAGTGCCATGACCTCCCATATCCAGCACACAGAAGAAGAATGTCATTTCTTGGTTTCATAATTAAGTTCTGATGGAGTAAATATTACTTTCTCCATACATGTTATACTTGAATGTGCCTGCTCCATCTTCATCAGAAGAAATAAGAAATCTGTATTCAGCTCATGGGCATTAACAACTTTGTCAGACACGGATTTATTCAAACTGTTGTCCTCATCTCAGTTGTTATAATCTCTGGCCATTGTACCTTTCAGTCTTCTTCAGGTGCCATTAGTAGTTCATAATATTCTCAAAATTTAAAAGTATATTAAATTCAAAACTGAATTAAACACTTTATTAAATCTCACCAATATGACATGGCTTCCTTCTGTCTTTTCTACAGATATATTCATGGCAATTATTCTGATAACTTTTCCTATGTGGTGTCTTGGCTGTATGAATATAAGCTTGGTACTAGATTGGCAACAAGGTCTCACTGCTTTACTGTTGAACTCAATAGATGCAACTATATGTTCTCTTCTAAGTTTCTTTTCTCACACTTATTGCCTGTGGAACTCTTCTAGCTTCTTGCTTCCCTGCCACCTACAATGTTCAAAAATTTAAGTGCAATGTCATCTTATGTCTTCTTGAACCCTGTTCTTTTATTATCCTTTCTTTATTTCTGCTTAGTAAAGCCTTCTCATTCTCTTCTACTCCTAGTAACCTCTTACATCTTAGTGGCATTATCACTTTGCTTGGGGTGAAATGAAATCAAAGAAAGAGAAAACAATGACAATGTTACCAATAAGAAAGAAATCTTTAACAAGAAAGAAACTTTTGTGGAAGGTTAAGAAGACTGTGTTAGAATAAAAGGGACATATGTGATGAAAAAAAATAAGAAAGAAAGAAAGATAAAAATGAAAACAGAAATAGCAGAAAGTCGAATGAAAGAAAAATAAAGGGTGTTACAATAACTTGGACTGAATTTAAATGTGAATTAAGTTTAAGTATCTAATAATTTTTTTTTTCTTTCAGATTTAACAACCATGGAAAGATTAACAATCAAACAATGTGTTAAAGTTATCAAAGCCTATTACAAAACTAGATGTTCAAACAGAAATGCATTTTGCACACTTTGCGATTTTTTTGGTTGACCAATTGAGAGTGCAATTGGAAACAATGTAATGTTGTTGTGGAGAGGTTCAATTCCTGCATGCGATGACGAATAGAGGTGTCTGGATTTTCAGGCTTATTCTCATGCAATGCAGCAATGTTTTCAGCCAAATGGTATAAATGAGCACGCAACGGTATTTTCACATCTGCCACCAACCCAGTTTGTTTGAATTTACAACAATTTTTCCAATTGCACTCTTGAAACTTTAACACATTGTTTGATTGTTAATCTTTCCATGGTTGAAACTGCCAAAGACTTAAATTGTTAAATCTAAAAGAAAATGAAAAAAATCATTAGACACTTAAACTTAATTCACATTTAAAATCAGTGCAATTTATTGGAACACCATTTATAATACCAATTGCCATCTTCTGCCTTACTGAATTCTGTTCTTTTATTGTTCTTTCTCCTCACTAAAGTTTTCTCATTCTCTTTGATTTCTAGTAACAACTTGTGTCTTAGTGGCATTATTGCCTTGCTTAGGGTGAAATGATTAAAAAAAATCTGCAAGGATAGACTTATCATTTTGCTATTTAACAGAATAATCATGTAGTAAAAGATATTTCCTAATCTGGAGAACAGAATGAGAATAGTTTTTTTCCTTGTAGACTGAATAATGGGCTTAATTCAAAATTCTAATCAAATACAAGAGGCATCAGAACGAGGTTGGAGGATACCAGGGTTGAAATGTTGTGAATATAATAACCAAAATGTGGATAATAATGAATCAATATTGTTGTAACCTAGGGAAGGTTACTGAATAGAATAATCACATGAAGGTTGGTAATGAACGATAATACTTAGGACAAGAACAACACATATAAGATTCACCAGCAGCGCGTAGTAGTAGTAGTAGTCAACTGCTAGTAGTGACTCAAGTGAATTCCACAATGAATCTCCAACTGCAGACCAACATAGAGTATTCACTACTGTATTTATGGGAAGGGGGGGGCGTACCCATTATTGTCCATAGGTATGCTACAACAAATATATAACAATGGCAATTTCTCATCTCCAAAATTGAAAGAGATGTTAATAGCTTATGGGCATCCTTGAAAAGAGAGAAACCACAAGTTCATTTCTTGATGAGGTTGGGGTTCTACAGGGTAGGAAAATAAGCAAGGTTCACTGGAAGGTCAAGGGTTTAGCTTGGAGGTCAGAGGATAATTGAAACAAGACAATAGGTACAGACACTGGACATGATATATATGACAGGATAAGTGCATCTGAATACAGAGCAAGATTGGACATTGTAGAACATAAAAGAAAGCTGAAAGTATGTGGTTAAATTGTGATAAAAAAAAAAAAAAAAAACAGTTTACATCAAACTAATGTAAAGTAACATAAATAAACATCAAAAAAATCCTGAAGCAAAAGAAAGCTGTTAATTCTCTAAATTTCTCAACTTAAATCGCAGAGTTTTTATAAAATCGCAGAGTTTTTATAAACTCTGCGATTTAAGTTGAGAAATTTACACTTGTTATAATTAGAAAGAAATTGCAGACAAACTGTAAATATATTGACATTAACTGTATTTGAGCAACATTATTTTGGGCACATTATTATTACACACTGCATGGAATAATATGCAAAAACAACAAATATATATATATATATATATATGGCTCTATACAAGATGGAATGTATCTGATCAAATAATTAAACATTTGAGGAAGCTTCTTAGAACAAAAAAAGACTTACACCCATATCACATTGAAACACTGGTTCCTGTACGATCACCAAAGTTAAGCAACATCTAGTCTGGTCAGTACCTAGATGGGTGACCACTTGGGAACACCAGGTGTTCCAAACTTGGATGTGCATGTGGTGTAATGGATAATGGCTTGAAATTGTTGATTAGTGAGCTAAGTTCCAATTTTTGTTGGCTTTGTTACATTCACTTATATGCAAATACCCTTGAGAAAAGTAAAAATCCCCCTCTATGGACTAATTAGTAAGACTTATATCACTAAATGATTATTATCTCAAAAAATTATCACAATCTAAATATATTTTCTGGCTTTAAGTAACCTGCAAAAGTTTGAGAAGCCATAAAAAACAAATCAAATCAGGACAATAACTTTTCAGCACCTCATATTATATATATATATATATATATAAAATAGCTGGCCACTCATATTTTTGGATACCCGTCTACTAGAGTGGCTAACTAATCCCTATTGCAGATGCTCGCTCAGGCACATTTGTATTTTGCTTAACACCCAGAGAGCACACCTGTGGTTTATATTGCAACTATGCTGAACAGACTTTAGTTATAGATTCTGAGAGAGAGAGCGTGTTATCTAGTGTGATCAACAATTTGAACAAGGCCAGCACGCTCAAGCCCTCAGCCACAATGACTTGTGGCTTTGTGCTAGCACAGCTATCACTGACCCATAAGAGTTCCATCTACCCAATTTCACTCACAAGGCTTGGGTCAATCCGTGGTATAGTTTTCAGGTACTTTCCAAAGGAGCTGCATGCTGGGATCGCCCTCGCTCCAGTCTGATGACATCAGGAAGTCACCTTCTTGACAAATCAACCAGGGTGAGATTCGAACCCAGGTCTCATGGTCAGATGTTCTAACCACTCGGCCATGTGCCTATGTATATATATATATGTGCCTATATATATATATATATATAATATATATGTTTGTGTGTGTATCTGTGTGTATGTGTCTTGCACTGACCTGGCATCTCAACTTCAGTCACTTTCCTACTACTGCAATGTAGCTGCCTTGTGCTTTTTCTATAAATATTTTCATGGTAATTATTTTTATGAGCATTCCTCTATGGTACCTACACTATGAATTTAAGCATAGCACCAAATTGTTGGCAAGATCTCATCATTTTACAGTTGAAATGGTTAGATGTAACAGTAAGTTCCATGCTAACAGTTTTTTTTTTTTCTCACACCTCTCACTTGTAAAACTCACTTCCAGGTTCCTGCTTTTTAGTCAACTTTGATCCTCAAAAATTTAAATGCAATGTCAATAATTATCTTCTGTCTTTTAATTGTTCTCACACCTTAATGTTTTTCTTTTTCTTATACTCTTTCACTTTCAGTAAACCACCTGTGTCTTAGTGGCTCTGTTGCCTTGCTTTGGGTGAATATTATATAGATATACATACATACATGTAGGCAGACAGATGAGAGTACAGCCTTGATAAAAGGAAGTTCTTTTATATAACAAATTTTTGGCAATGCAATTAGTTCTGAGATTAATATCAATGACAGTCACAAAGACTATCCAAAATACAGTCAAATTTTCAGCTCTCAAGCAATGCCCTTTATCTCTCTCAGGAAATTAAACTGAAACCAACTTTAACTTAAGATAATGCAATGTCATGATTACCTCTTTCCGACAAATACAAGGAAACAGTAAAATAAGATGTTAAAAAGTATAAAACAAATTTTTTTTTTTAGTCATTCATCTAACCAGGAAAGGAGGAAGTAAACAAATTTTATAACCACAAGAAAAGAGACATTCAATCTTTTTTTAGTTTTTATGAAGTTACATAAATCGCAGGTCACTCTTCATAAATTTTCCTTTGGATATTTCTTCATTTACTGGTGTCATTTTCTTCCATGGTACCTACACTCTTTGATTTTAAGTACAGTACTATATTGGTGGGAAGGGCTCCTCATTTTATAGTTGAAATGGCTAGATGTAATCCTATGCTAACAGTTTTTTTCTATTGCTTGTGGAACTCTCTTCCTGCTTTCCAGTTAACTTTGATTAAAAAAAAAAAAAAAAATCTCCTAGGCAGCCGTCTCTTACTAGAGTAAATATTTTGAAGCTTCAAAACTGTGCCAAGAAATACGTGAAAATTGACTTTTTTATAAGTAATTTTCACGAACAAATCTCAAGTGACATTTGATAGACCTGATGGATGGGCTAATGGATGGATTTTATCCAATTCAAACATGTCTGTGGCTAAAAAAAAGCAGCAAGGAGGCGGTAATGTTATGATATGGGCTGGAATTGTCAACCAAACCATTATTGGACCATTCAAAGTTGTTGAAGGAGTGCTAACTATTACAATTTTATGAACAAGGCTTTTTTGCATGGTACAAGTCCCAGTCTCACAGTTTCAAAGTGTAGTATGCATTTATACACAATAATCCTCCTTCTCGTGTGTCTAAGTTTACCCATGAATTCTTTGAGCATAAAAGATTTTCAAGAGAGAAGATAATGGAATGGCCACCATCAAATCCTGATCTGAATCTGATCAAAAATCTATGGTCAATTGTGAAGATGAAAATTACATGAAGGTGACAAACAATATAACAGCGATGCAGACCTCTAGGAAGAAATTAAAAATATCATGTTGGAAATTGAACCTGCTAAAGTAAAAAAAATTAACAAAACCAATGGATAATAGATTAATGGCTGTTATTAAAAAGGGTCACTATATTAAAATATAAAGGATTCAAAGATTTATATGTATTTATTATTTGTTCTATTATAGGTATTGATCAATTTTTGATGATTTTTTTACTTTTTTATTGGAGTAAAATGTAATTATTTGGTTTTTCCTAATAACTTCAGATGGCATTTTTTTTAGAATACATCAAATAACTTCAATAAAACATTGACACTACCTAAAATTTCAACTCAGGCTTTGTTTTGATATCTAAATTGATTGTTTAAAATTTGACAATTTTTTTCAAACATAATTTGAATTATTAAAGTTTATATGACTTGCTTAATAACTTAAGACAGGGTGGATATATAGCTCTGACAAAGCACATACTATGTACACAAGTGGAAAAGATTCTGGAGTTTACAATTAACTGTAGTGCAGAGTTGTGGCTGCTATAATGAGTTCAGTGAAGGAGGCAGGCAGGCCATTTCTTTCTTTAGTCTTGACATCTATATAATAATATTGGAATAGTAAATTATACATTAAAATATACAGAAAAAAGATGGTGATTTTGTATTGAATAGCATTAGGTAATCTTTCTGATACATGCAACAAAGTGATAAACTGTTGTCATAAATAGTTTTTAATGATGATCGATGAAATAAGACTTTTTACCTTTGCAAGAGGAAGCAGCCAATCATGTTCACTTGCTTAGAAATGAATCTAAGAATACCAACTGGTTATAGAGGGTTATATGTTATTGAATTAGCCCAACCAACATGATTGCTTTTATGTAGCAGTCATATTTTGAAATAAGCAAATCATTCTGTGATTTTTTTTTTAGCAGATAATCTAATTTTATCACAATTGTTTTTGTGAAAATGAGCAAAACCAGATATAAAGGAGTTAAAATGCCATTGGGAACTCTACTATTCTTTCAATGGTTGCATATTGTGATTGACCAGGACTGTATATAGTTTTGAAATCAAAGTTGTCTTTCTCTTTAGACTGGTTTCCAACCATAGCTAGAGCCCAGTTCGCCCTGTTATATAACTCATAGCTGGATGAAAAAAAAGATTGATTCATTTGTTTTTTTATGATTTATCAACTCTTTATTGGTTATTTAAAGGCAAAACATATTTCAGATTGTATGAAAAAAAATTTTTTCCCAATATAGCATTAACAATTTTTTGACAATAATAATGATTTTTTTCAAATACAAATCCTACTAATTAACCCATAGCTGGGAGGAGTAGTTGGATTCATAGCTTTTCGAAGGTTATTTGCATGCAAGTGAATGTAATAAACCTGACTGGAATTTGAACTTGGCTCCCTGACATCTCCTCCCAAGCCACTATCCATTACCCCAACAACACATCCTGAGAGAGAGAGATGGCATAAACGAGTAAATTTGTAGAGACCTCATAAGATTGAGTTTCCTTCAAACTTGTAAAATTTAGAAATAAATTCAGCTTGGAAAGTATTAAAAGTTTTCAAAATAATTTCCTCTTCACTGTGATGTGTCCCTTCAGGATGTGGACGATCATGAACCTCCACAAATCCCTCTCCTTTGTAGCTCTTTGCAATGTTTGTCTTTGTTGCTGTATTTTCTAATCCCTGCTCTGCCAACAATTTGCACAAACTTTTCAGGTAAGTTATTCGCTGCTTTCCTCTGTCTCTATTAACTTCAATATGTCCAGTGAGTGTCAAATTCTCCAAGCCTTCTTTCCCAGAGAAATGTGACAGAGAAATTTCTACTTTTTCTGATTCCAACTTTTCTGTCAAAGTGTTCTTTCTGTTCCATTTTCCCTTTGCCGTTGCTTGCATGTGCAGTACATGGTATTTTTATTAATCATTTCACACCAAGCAAGGCAATAAAGCCACTAGGATGCAAGGGGTTACTGTGTGAGAATATGAGATAGAAATAGAGGAATTAAGAAGACCGAAGATAATGATAGACTAGAAAATAAGATGGGAGTTCCACAAGCGAGTAGTGTGAGAGAAGAAACTTAGCATTATCAGCATCCTTCTGTAGTACCACGGTTATGTTATCTTGAGTCTTCTTCATTTGTGAGATTGTTCAACATTTACTGCCATATAAGAGGTCCGAAAATTACGTGAATAGAAAAGTTCATTATCTGTCACCTTACCATAAACCATTTTGTATAATGGACAGATGATTTATAAATGAAATACATTAGAAGTTGGTTAACTTAGATCAAGTTAGCACTGAATCAGTTTTTCATATCCATATGTGAAGAAAGTGTGATTATGTTTACAAGTCTATCATGTGATAGTTGAAGTATAGGTAACCAAAAATGACAAGCCTGGTACAAGGTTACATTTAATAAATTTTCAATGAAAAAAACGACCAGAAAGAAAAATATGAGTGACCAATATATATGTTCTTTAAAATAAGGTAACTTATATTCACATA